CGTTACTTGCAGCTCCAACTCTAAAAAGAAAAAAATAAAGGTAGCTGAGTTCCAAGAACATTTATTTAATGGTGCCCCCCTGAAAAAGGTCTAGACACAAACTGAGTACCAAGATGCTGCTCTCCTCCATCAAGAAAGGCATCTGTGCATGTAGAGGTGGACCAAGAGGTGCTAGAAGCAGGGTTTGACCCTCCAGGGTTGCTGAGTGTGATTTTTCAGGGCAGGAACATACACCTAATTCCCTGTGCTGCCAGCTCAGCCCAGGAGTGCTCAGAGTACAGAAAGACAAACTGACAGAATGGTTAAAATCCCCACAACAGCTGTTTGAGAAACAAATAAACTTGCCTGGTAAAATCTAACCTCAAAGAGCTCTGGTAAGCAAGTTTAAGTATAGGTCTTATACCCTTTGCTCATTCAGCTCATAAGTAATTGGGTCAGGTAAATAGTCCTCGATAACCAGCACCCCACTTGTTCCTCCTTCTGGGATGTCAAATGCACAGAAAGATCACAGGGCAACTAGGCAAATGTAGCTAATTAAGAATAATTATTTCCATAGTTCTTTATATCTTTCTTGCTGGATGAATTGTAAACCCTCCTTACCTGACTTTAAAATGAACAAAATCCTGAGGTTCATTAAAAGATTTGTCCTCATCTGGGCAAGAGATAAATCTGGGATGTCAAGAGCCTGACAGGGCCATCAAGGCAAACATTAAATGTCTTGCCTTAAGCAATAGGTGGGAAGGGAAAAAGATCTTAGGTGGGGGAGCACTGAATTAAAGCTCTGTGTCTTTTGGTCAGATTTCTCTCCAAAGAGGAATAAACTGTTTGTCATCCTGCCAGCTATGAGACTAGCTATAAAATAATAGATTCCACAGGCCCAAATGAGGCTAATCATGATTGCCAAGGCATGTCTGAGCTGTGAGAAGTGAGTGAAATCTGATGCTCTTCAGAGAAAACATTTATTGAAAAGCTCTTTGCTCTGCAATAAGCCTTGGCAGTTATCTCATGTCTTGGAGTATCTACCATATTTCTCATTTGATTGCAAGGCATATTGCTGACACCAGCTGCTATGGCTGAGTTTCCTTTAATAATGCTTTGGTAGGTGAAACACCGCTTCTCTTTAGCTGATGAGAGAATGGTCAGGAAGGATTTTGTATCAATTGCCTCTGTCAATAGTAGTTATTCCTAAGTGTCTCCAACTGGATGCTGTAGTAAAATGTCCATCAAAATCAGAAAAAGATTTCCACAGAGATGAACAACAAAGGGACACGTTTTTCTCCTCTCTGAACTGAGGGAACACCTACAAAGTAACAGGAGAGGCGGGGTTTTACTGCAACCACTTTGGAGAGCAAGCGAAGAGCAGGGGAAGGAGATGTTAGACTTCAAACTGGTCCTTTGGAATAGATTTTACAATCTGGTGTAAATTTTAACAACATCTGCTACTTAAAAAGAGAAGACAAAAAAGAAAAAGAATCAAGGCGTGCCTTCTAGCATTTTTAGGTTTAAGTAATTAACGCATGTTTGCTGTATGTGTGTGCGTGTGATCATATGCGCACTCATATGCAGAGGAACGACTTCCAACTTTTTAAGACTTAAATAATTAACCCAAGTGTGCGTCACACGCACATACGCTCACATGTGTAACACAAAGGTACTGGCACAGCTCATACTTTGAGGCTCATTCCTATAACACTCTAAAGAAATTATTCTGACACTCACACATCATCTACAAACTGCTAAGGTAAGTACTGCAGAAAATTGCTTAGGAGTCTTCATTTCATCTCCTCTTCTGCTTCAGCTCTCAGTACTTTGAGTCAACAGAATCTCAGCTGAGAGGCAGATGTTTCAGAGGAGATCATGCCCTGACGAACTGTGAAAGGCTCCCATGCCTTTTCCCCAGTTCATGCTCCAGATGTGCTGGGGGGAAGGGAGAGATTGTGTGCACGCCTCGCAGTGCAACACAGATGGGCAGAGCCGCCTCCTTGAGAGGAACGGACCAGAAGGCAGCATTAAATGCGCTGGTTCATCTGAACGCTAGGCTGTCCCCACTCAAAGCCCAGCTGAGTAAATCCCTCTCTGCTGTGCACAAGCATCCTCCTCACCTGTTTTCCTCATCTCCCCGCCACACCAAGCAGTCATTAATCACTGCCTACCAAGCAGCACAGAAAACCCTCCCCGTATTCGCAGAGCTGACCAGAGGAGCAGGAATGAAGCCGGGAGTCCCTGCAGTGCTCTCGGCAAGGCTGCAGCAAGCCAGGCTGCCACCAGCTGAGGCTGCCACACAGGCGGATCCTGGGCAGGCTGGCGCTGAGGTGTATTTACTTAACGAAGCACGCAGGTAAACGCATTAAGGGAGCAGCCTGCAGCAAAATGTGTGCTCTGAGCCCAAGTGTGACTATAGAACACATCATGGGTTTCGGGATTTGGCTCCCCACTGCTTGAATCTGGGACTAAGAAGGATGACATTGTATTTTATACTTACTTTTAAATGAGTTACGTACTGATATAAAGCAGGAACCTAGCTGGAATGAACTGTCACTTTAAAGGAATACATCTGAGACCTTTAACTTGCACAGGTATACTCAGTGAAGTAAAAATATTATTCTGCTTGGGAGAACCACAAATTACAGCAATAAAATATATGTGGTGAATATGTAGAAATTTGGTACTATTTGCAATGAACTGAATATTAGGCACTGCTAAGACCTATCATTTAATGAAAAAGAGACTACTTTATTTCTAATTTAAAGCATAAGAGTTTATGAAGGTTTAGGGAAGTCTTTTGTGTGCTTTTGCAACAGCTTAACTTCTAATATATTATATATTCAGAAATTAGGATCCTTGAGCTCTGGCACATTATTTACTGGTGCACATTATTGGAGTGGTCAGTGTGTGGTGCCCTCTCTCTATTTCATAGCCAATGCAGCTATTTCCCCATGGCATCAGTAGATTAAAAAAAAAAATAATCTTGCTAGACAAAAAAAAAAAAAAAAAAAAAAAAAAAAAAAAAAAAAAAAAAAAAAAAAAAAAAAAAAGGGGGTGACAATGAAACACACTCATTTTGCTATGAGGTAATTCAATAAATCTGTCTACTTTTCTAAGGCTTAGTTTTTATGTAAAACAACACTTATTTATCTTGCTACATTCAAAATGGAAAAAGAATTAAGGGTGAGGTTCAGTTTTCAGTCCAGCTTTTAGTAATATGAAAACAGGAAACAGTGCTAAAAGGGACCCTGGGAGATCTAGGGGACAGAGCCAGATGCCAAGGCTATGCCTGCTTCACATAAAAATGGTCTGTCTCTCTCTCAGTCTCTTTTGGATAGTTTAGATGATGCAAAACCTCAAGAATCAAATTATCACATTGCCAGAGGTTCACAGAGTGGCAATGATGGGGCCATGCTGATATGGTGGCACAGAGGACATTGTCCTTTCCTTTCACTGCATCCTGTTCTCTTCTGCATTCAGGAGGCCTCATCTAACACATCTGATGGCAGCATGCCATGGCCTGAACTCATGAACAGCACAGGCATAGCTTACAGCATCTCCTGGGGGAGGAGATTCAGCTTCCTACCAAATTACTAATTAACCTTGGGGGTGGGAGAGAAGGGCTTTTGAGAAGAGTTGGTGAGAAGAGGCTGCATCAGGCTAAAATCTGAAATGAAACAGTTCAAGAAGCATCACCCTTAAGACCAGTATGGAAACACAACCTAGAGATCACCTACCAACCATTAACCACCACAGTTCACTGCTAACCCAGTCTGCTTTCTCCATATGCACCTCTCAGAGAGAGGACACGAGCATGATAATAACACATGTTTCTGGAAGTGACAGCATATTATAAATTCAGATCACACTCAGGTATGACCCAACCAAGGGTTAATCAACTTTCAGGCCTGAGAAGGCTCCTGAAAGCCTAGGGTGTTGTGCATCTCCCTCACAACTTGAAGGGAAGAGCAGTGCCTTCAGTGAGGGGCTCTGGGTAGCCTACCTAACTGCTAGGAGCTTGCATGGCATATTTCAAAAATGCATACTTCTATAAAAATTTAAACAACTTTCAGTGCATTACTGTGTTCTCATTGAGCTAATGCACATAATAGAAGAAATGAGAAGAAAGTCCCCTTGATGGCTCTACCTGGGTCAACCGAGGTGGAAGGCCTGATCTTCAGCTCTACAGATGTTAGTTTAAATTAGAAGAAGACCAACTCATTTTTTAAAAAGGGCTCTGATTTAAAGAAAGCAGGTTCTCAGCAGTTTCACAAAAATGGTGGTCCATATCTTGGTGCAACACTGATGTTCTTTATAAAAGCAGACTGTGTGTGACCCAAGCCACGGAGAAAGGATGGAAGTGTTCATATGATTTCGGCTGAGAGACTGCCCTTCTCCAAAAGCTAAAGGAGGAGTGATGGGGGCTCTTGGCAGCTAGTGCTGCCTGTTCTGGTGTCTCACACAAATGGGGAAAAGAAAAAAAAAAAGGTGGATGTGATGTCTCTGGTGCTGCATGATCACAGGCAGCAGAGCGACACAGCTGACATGGGCGTGGGGGCAGAGGTGGACACAGGAGCAGGGCCATCCTGCCCTTTGGGGTGCAACAAGGTTTTGATGATGCTGGGCCACACTCCCAGCAAAGGAGCCCACCATCAGGCTGCAGAATCCAGGAAGGACCTTTTTGATGATTCATGATTTCAACCAGCAGAACATGTATCCTTTAAACTTGCCATTGGAAAGGAATAGAAAATGGGCACAGAAACGCCACTTCACATGGCTTTTCGGGGTGCACTGGAACCAAGAAAAGCCATTTTCATCCCTGCAAAAATCCCCAAATCCCTCTTGTGCAAAGACACAACCAGAAGACTTATGCTTTTTTGTCTTCTCCTTACGTGACCACACACCCATCTCTTCCGGACAGAGTTTCTGCTGCCCTCACTCCGACAGCTGTGCCATGAAGATAGCATTCCTCATGACAGCTGAAAAATCTATAGGTAAAGACAGGTCTGATCAATTTACAGGAAGCTCCACTGCCGAGCTGAGCAGCAAAGTCCATAAACCCAGCAGATGCCTCTGTTTTCAAGCCACAGGGAACCTTCTGGGAAAGGCTATGGCATTGGTTTTGTCATGGCCAACGGGCAAGAAATGCAAGCTGGAAGCAGCCTGTTTTGCTGGCCTCCAGATCTGGACCCAACAGTTTGAAAAATACACCTTCAACTGATGGCTTCTGGACTCCCTGTTCAATGCAAAGAGTAGGTATTACACAGCTCCTCCCTCCAAACCACACTTGAGAAAGTAATATTTCTGTTTTACAGGTAAGGAAGCCAACACCTTAAAACTCTAACAGATCAAGGATCAGTGGCCTAGGACATCTGAGACCAGGAGTTTAATTCATTCTCCATTAGCTTAAAGCAATTTTTAGCTCAAAAACTCTCTAAGAATACCAGTGCTCCAGTTTTAAGCATGACAAAAGGCAAAAAAAGAGGGATTTTTACATTTTGCTCCAAGTCGTGCAACAAAATCAGAGGAAAACTGGACCAGGTGCTCGTGGCACAATTTGTAGTGAATTAAGCGAAAGGAAACTGTGTTTGACATATGCACAGCTGTGCATGAACACAAGGACAGGAGAAATATGTTCAATGAAAAACTAAGATGACAAGCCTAGTACGTCAGAGCTCTTCAGAGATCTGGATGTCCTACAATAAACCTCCATTTGCTAAACATGTCTCATTTCTTCCTGAAGCACAAGCGGAGCCAGAAGAAAGCATCCACAGTATGAACAGCAAGAGCACATTAAATTCTCCTCTTATTCTCTCTGTATGTTTTATTGAGTGGGAGTGGGGGCTGTAAGAGAACTGTGTTAAAACTAAGCTAAAAAAAAAGAACAAAACCACAAAGACTACTTAATTAGGTGTTTTTAAAATTATTTGTGATTTCCATCCAAATCCACATGCCACTTTGCATCAGAATTGCAATTTTAAGTTTGTCTCAGAAAACTTACCTCACTGCTTACAATTCTAGTCATCTCTGACTGCATCACAATCAAATACAAGGCAAAAATAGCAGCCCAAAACAACAAAGCTTGTTTTCCTAAACACAACCAAACAACCAACGACTTCATAACTTACATTCACAGGAAAAAAAACCCCTAATTTACAAACTCCACACATATTCTCAACTTGTCACGCTGATTCTCTTAAGCCTTGAGAAATAAAATATACTTATACAAAATTAATTAGAAAATTAATGCAAACACTAGATAAAATGTAAAGAATTCCTAAAACACTGAGGTTTGCCACGAAAAAAGCTGAGTTTTTTTTGTGGACGTACCTTGTTTTGTTTCTCTTAATCCTATTTTAAACACAAGCAACATAGATGTTGCAGAACTGCTTATCTGAACGCTCCTGTTGTGTGTACTGGGATTCAAATTTTAGCCAAAACTGTAGAGAGACAAGCCAATTATAGCATTTCCACTGTGGGTGTGACTGCCATGATGGTAAAGATAACAAGTGAGGAAATGTCCTGTTATTTTTTGAAGGTACTTATTCTATAGCAATATTCCAGGGACAGAGCAGAAATAGGCAGGAGTCCACTGCTAAAGTAAAAAAAGATTGTTCTCTCAATACCTTGCAAGCTAAACAAAGAAAATAGTCAAGGTTAATTAAAGATTGATTAAGATTTCCATTTGGGAATAGTGGCAGGAAAATATTACCTGCTTCCCCCAAGCAAGCTGTAGCAGAGCTGGAAAATGGTGCCAAATCAGGATTCCAATGCTTTAACCATAGTCCAAAATCAAATATGAAAACCTGCAAGCATAAGGAGCAAACTGTATGATCACCTTTGAGGGATGATCACTGCAAATGCAGCTGTCAGCATCTGTCCAGTGTGCTGTGTGCAGCACAGCAAGGTCACCTTGCCCAGGATGGTTTTTAAGGATGGTTGGGAGAACACAGCACAGTGGCCTTCCTTTAGCCAGACACCAAGCAGGTATGAGAGATAATTTTTTCTATTCTTTTAGCCCCACAGGTTCAGTGTTATGAACTCCTATGGATCACATGAGCTCAGGAGAGAGGATACAGACTTTGGACATTGTTGTTATTTTCAATGAACTATCAGCTCTCTTCTCTCAATCTTGCTATCCGCCTGGGTGCCTGTCAGCTGCCGTCAGCAAGGTCTGGTGGGGAATGTCTGGTCATGGGGAGGTCTGCTCTGAGGAACTGAGAAGGTTTGTTACCTTACAGCATTGTTTTCAGGCGTTGGCTTGAAAAGCAGCCAAGCACTTCCCAGTGACAGCCTCCCCATAGATTCGACTCTGTGGCTGGATTCATTGAGCAGCAGGAGGGAAAAAAGGCTGTAAGAGATGCTCTCCTCTGTCTTCCTCAGAGGAAGCAACATCAAAAGCCTGTTTCTCTTCCTTTGAGAGCTGTGCCTGGCCTCAGCCATTACAAGGTTAAGCTCCCAGAATAGGCTGCACTTCGGAAAGCCATCAGATTAAAGCTGGTGCACAGCACAGCTGCTGCTCTTTTACACAAGTCAGGTCCCAAGAGGAACGTCTACAGCACAGACCATAGCCTAAGTGCCAATTGCATTCTAGATGCACTTCAACCCACCATGATGCTGGCAAAGGCTTAGCAGCAGCTCACCCCAGCACCCTGTTGTCAGGGCAGCTGTCTTTGCACGAACCTGCTGGAGCAGGGATGGCCGAAGAGGTGAAGGAGGTGACAGCTATCATATCTCCAGCAGCAAAAGCTGCTGGGATGCCCTCAGCTTTTACACCACTGCTGAACCACTGTGCTCGAGGTCTGAGGCAGCAGGAATGGGAACAGGGATGCTGTTCAATGGGCACCAAACAGAGGGAAACAGCATGGGCTTGGAGCCACAGCCCCTCTAGCAAATGGTCCAAGGCTACCACCAGCCTTTCTGTCTCCAATAACAGAGCACCAGGGCATTAAGTGTTTTCACTGATGATCCTTCTCCCCCATCCCTGATGTCTGCCATGTGTCTCAGGTTGCAAGATGAAATCAAACATGTACACACATGCCACAGAGCTACACTAGACTGATGGATGCCAAACCGGATATGGGAAAGTATACATGCCTAATATCCACCACAAGAGCTGCACCAATTTGCAGTGGCTCTAAATAAAGGTCTTACTGTTTCCTAGCAATGCCAGAAGAGGCCAAGGATCTCAAAGTTGCCGCCTATTTAAAAAAAACCAAAACCAAAAAAAACCCCACAGACCAGAACCACAAGGAAGTGGAAAGCATGACAGCAAGAGCTGGAGTTCAGGATCCCTGACAGACCACATCGGGGTGCCATTCACAGCAGGGAAGACCTTCAGGAAAATAAATGCCAAGATAGACATGTACCACTGGCCCTTTGTGTAGTTGTCATCTCTGCCCAACCACAACTGCAAGGGTAGTCTAATGCAGTGACACGTGTGACATGCACACCATGGCTTGGGGGTCACAAGACCTTCAACTGTGAATTCTCCAAATTATAACAGCAGGAATCTGCCATTAGATTATACAAAAAGTCATGTAGTATATGCATGCTGTGGGGACTGAGATAAAAACAAACACCAAACTGCCCCCCCCCTCCCACCCTTCTCCCACTCCTGAGAGAGAGTGAGACGTACTTCCTTCCAGGAAAGGGTTAAGCAGCTCTGCAAAGCACGCCTTGCCTTGCCTCCCTGTTTGCACTTGGTGTGCAGAGAAGACTTCAGCTCTTAGCAGTGCAGTCCTTGGGGAGGAGCCCTAGGAGTAGCACAGCACGCTGTTTTTTGTTGCTTTCTTTGTTAATAAATCTAAAGGGGACTTTGGGCTTTGTATGCAACATGGGCTTTTTAGAGCAGGTCAGAGAAAGCTCCTGCTCACAAAGTCGATAGTGGAAAATGGCACTGCTGCACACAACATCATCACGCCTGGGACCTGAACGTGCAGAAAGCTGAGCTTGTTGACTGTAATCTGCTTTGTTTTCCAACCTTTAGCCACATAACTACGTTTCACAAAAAGGAAAACTGGGACAGAAAACAGCAGCCAACAGGTTAGGGCCTAACTGGGCTTCCTTCTGCACCATCAGGATTCATCCAGATCACACCCAGTCAACACAGCATTTGCAATCATGACCTTCTCTGGCAATTACAGCTTTGCTTCCCTGTTAAAATGTTTTATCCAGCAATGATTTTGCAGCTCCATGAAGCATTCCTGATTAGATTTTCAACACTGTTACACATGAGGTCCCTTATACAGAACAGTTTCCACGCAGAAAATGTGAGAAACACCACTCAGCAATTTTCAGTGCAGATTTTGAAGTAAAATAGAAAGAGAAAAATATTATTTAGAAAAGAAAATAAAATAAAGCATTTGAAATCATTCAGGAACTGTAAACCAAAATTAAAATTATCTATAGCATCATCACAGGCTACTGTCCTGCAGTTTAAGGACAAACAAGAAGGAGCAGAGAGCTTTCAGTTTGTCCAAGATTAACTCCACATACTAGAATTGAAGATGGGAAAGATGGGTGGGATATCCAACAGTCTGCAAAAAAAAAAAAAATTAGTTCATGTCAGACAAAGTCCTGTACTGGAGATTTTAAAGATAAGCAGGTGGAAGAAAAGAGGAAAGAGACACATTATGATCAAACTAATTTAAAACAGGAAGAATGCTGAGTACATTTATTAACATTCCCAAAAGTAGTATCCAGCAGACAGAGGAATGTAGAGTGAGATCTCATACCTGTGGAATAGAAATGCAGTCTGTAGCACTGTAAAGCCAAGACTGGTTCCTTGTAGACAACAGAAATCCAGTACAAAGGAGTCAGGCCATTAGCAAGAGCAAAACAGGACTGATGAAAATCTCGGTATGTCTTGTCCTCCCTGCACCTTATATTACAACATTCCCAACCAAAGGATGAAACATCTGGATGTAACTGGTCCATACAATCTCCATAATCATGGAGAGTTTGCCATTCACTAGAATTTTATATGGCAAGCCACTCCTTCCCGGGAAGTATTCCACATCAGTATCAATGAATTCAATTTTTTGCAGGGAAGATTAGGATCAAGGATTAGCTCTTCTGGATAAACAGAGAAAGTGTGTTCAGAAATTCAAAATAATAACAACTTCACACTAAAATGAAGATTATTTTTTTTTATCTATTATTTCACTTGTGAGGTTCACCTGCCAAGCTTGCTATTTTTCTCACTTATCTTTTTGCAATTACTCCGTTGCCTGAGAAGCCAGGAATAGTGCAGGCAGTAAGCAATGTCCACTGCAAAAGCACCTTTAGCAATATAACCATCAAACATGGCCACATGGATCAACTCTTACAGATAAACCTTACAGGGACACAACTGGGTTTTCAAAAACATTAAATTCCTTCTGTGTGCCTAGCACAAAGCATTTGGAGCTGCAGGAACACAGAACAGAGTATTTATACTTCCAGTAATTCCTTGGTATAAATGGTTTTTCAAGTCCAAGTCAAGGGATCTGGCAGACCATGATGTTGGAAAAGCTCTTCCATTAGATACTGGATTACTAAGAAAACTTGGTCTCTGAACAATCAGGACAGATTGGTCAACTCTCTGAGAAACTAAAAGAAATTCTGTTTGCATTTAAGCTAAAAGTATGACTACAAGCAGTGCTGAAATTCTGTTTTCCGCTCCATCCCAACCTCAAAAACCTGCCCAAATGGCCCAGTGGGAACATCCACCAGTCCAAAATTCAGGCCCGCAGACTAAATTCTTCCCCCAACCAGAAAGGCAAATGAGTGAAGCTGGAGTTTTCTCTGCACGTTGTCCAGAGCATCACACAGTTTTTTGCCAAGCTTTTTAGAGTTGCCACAGAGCCATCTCCACTGCAGCACAGGGTGAGGAGAGACACTGGGATGCTGCTAAATTTTAATTATTGCATGAAAGAATTTATGTTTTTTCAAATAAACTGTGTTTTAGAGCAAGAGATATTTGCATTTCCATTTCTTTAAATGGAACTAACAAGCCACATACATTAAAGAAACCCGTAAAATCAAAGGAAAAAGCCCTGTAACATTCATTTTCTCTTAGGTACCTTCAAATTCAACATTATTGTAGCACATCGTTCTTTGGAGCTTTAATGCCTACACTTTTATAGACCAAAACCAATCACTGCTATTTTGCTTGAAAGAAAACCTGCAGGTTGTGAAAAGAAGGCTCTAATTGACTTATTTTGTTTTATGAAAAACTACGTCCCCAAATTCTTTATGTAGTAAATTGAATTTTCAAACTAATGTTTATCATGTGTGCAATTGTTTCCAGAAATGAATTTTTAAAACAATGATACTGGACAGACCACTCAGGCAGAGCTTGCCTGATGTTTTTAAAACTAATGGTTGCAGTAAAAATGTCAGTCTGAAGAGGAAGTAAGAATTTTGTCTTCTACTGCTAATTACATAGGTTTCAAAATTGTATTAGGACATTCATTTATGGCCAGCGTTAATCAGGAGTCATATAGCTGTAGGTCAGAGCAATTATATGCATTTAAAAGCAAGTCCATCATTTCTGCATGTGATTTTTCACTGTAGATTATGAACAGTTTTACAGTGAGTATATTCTGCTAGTCTCCAATAAAAGCCTATTTCTCCTTATTTTTAGATCCATTACACACACACAGCTCATTCTGGGAATGTCTGAAATTCAGCACAACGGGCTGTACTTAGAAACAGAAGTTGTTCTCAGTTTGGTGCTTTCATACTGATCATTAACTACCATACAGCTGGCAATGAAATCAACCCCCCAATTGTCTTTTAAACGCAATAAACACATAACTAGGTCATATTATTGCTGTGAATCATCTTTAGCCACTTTTGCATCACGTAATTTAATATCCATTTGTAGAAGAGCTGACACTACCAACTCTATTCTCATTAAATATTGGAAAATTTAATTGGCTACCTATTTGACTTCAGGCAAACAGTGATATAAACCAGACAAACTCTCACCTCTTGACCCTATTGACTGACCTAAGTAAAACACACTGTTGGTACCACAAAAGCCATGTGAGCACTAAGGGTAATTCTGCATTCCTGAGAGAGAACAGATTTTGGGACTCTCTACTGGCATGACGAGAAAAAGGTACCAAAAAAAAAAAGGTTCAAGTTAACTGATTAATAGTAAATCCGATGTTCTACAAGCCAATATCCTCCTGTGTATTCCAGGAGAGCTTCTGCTCCTGAAAGGTGAGGTCGATTGCAAAGAACAGCATTGGATTTAAGAGGCTGAAGCTTGTAAAGCCACAGTCACAGCTGTGCGGGTATATTTATGATAGAGTAAGCGGGAATGCGAGAAATGAAGTGGAAAGAATAAAAGGGGAGATGAAAGGTGAATTTTCAATAAAACCTCCCCGAATTCAGGCAGAGAGAAAGTGATAAATAATCTCTCTGCAGATAGCTCTCATCTTGACACTCTTTAATGGTATCCATACCTAATTTCCAGGGACTCTGATATCATGAGAAAGACTGCAAACCTTGGGTTCCTGGGGCTCCTTTCCACACATCCTGATGTGCAATGAGACTGCCAACCTGTTCAGATTTATACAGCCCACAAACTACATGGCAGAGAAAAACCACATCACATTAACGCAGTAGCTCAGAGTTGAGTCAGAAGGATCACAAGAAGGATGATCACAATCATGAGTGAAGAAGGAGGAAGGTGCACCTGTTGTGCATCTTCAAGCAGCACGATTTGGGTAGCAGGAGGTGCCAAGAGCATCTTTTGCCAAGGTGGTCACAGGTAGCTAAGTCTGCTTCTTCTTATCCCAAGCTCTAGAGCAAGAAGATCCTTTAGGCCTTGCATGAACTGTCACCACACCCCCACACAGGATCAGAAAGGACCCTTAAAGCATCAAATTCTACCAAAAAACAAAACAAAACAAAACAAAACAAAACAAAAAAAAAAAAAGGCTTTACATTGGAAACTCTCTACATCCAGATCTGACCAATGGCACAATACAAGGAGGTTGTCCTACTGTCAGCAAAGAGCACTAGCATTGCAGAATTCCTCTAATTAAGTCTGATAAAAGTGACATAAAATTGATTTCTTCCCATTAAAATAAATACCAAAAGTAGTGCTTAAGAAACTTCTTGGTTAACTTTAGAGCTATGTTTTGATTTATTTATTTTCTTTGCCTGAAGAGAGGGCTGTGTAAATGCTGCACTGTTAAGGGAAAGAA